GCAATGAAGACATTTTAGACTATATCAATTGTGGTGGGGATTGTCCCACACATTTCAGATATTTGGTAGCATCTCTGGCCTTTACCTGCTAGAGGCCAGTACCACCTCTAGCCCTCGTGACAGCTACAAATGTCTTCAAACATCGCCAAGGTTATTTGGGGTGTGGAAGGGAATAGCCCCAATTTGAGAAGAAATACCCTAGGCAAAAACAATACTATTTGCTTCAGTTGCTATTTTTTTTTCTGCTTTGAAGTTGTAATATTTAAGATATTTAAAGAGCAAAGAGTAATGAACTTATTCAACTTAGAGTGATCCATTTAAATTCCTCTTTGAGTTTGTCAGTATTTAAAGAAATCATATGTACATATTTAACAAAATAATGCAAAAGTACTGGGAAATACATCTTAGACATACATCATCGATTAAAGGGTAAGAGGATCCATTACCATTCAGAGAACAAGCCTCTTTAAAATTGTAGGAGTGGTGTTTGCTCATTAACTTTGAGAAACCATTAACCACAAAAAGTCAGTTTTCTCTTTATGCATTTACTTTTTGAATAACCATTCATCACTGAAAGCATTAGTTTCCTCATAAAATTGTTAGGCGTGCAAAATTGTTTTGGAAAAAAGTCATGAGTTACAGGGCATTGTATTTTAAAATATGACTCTATGATTATATTTTTCTGCATAAAATGTGTCAAATATGTGAGATCATTTATGTTGATAAATAATGTGTAAACAGTGTTTATTTTCTCATGGCTATTAGCTCTCCTATTGTAACAGTGACTTTTATTGTGAGACCACTTTTTTTTTTTTTATTGAGTTTATTGGTACATTTAGGGATACAGTACAGTTACATTCATTGTTGGGATCTTGTACCTCTACATGACAAGTCTTGATTCTCATTTTTTCCCCTTACCTCTGCCCTCCCTTCACCCCCTCCTCCCCTCCCCATCTACAAACACTTTATTTTCATCTTTTCATTCTCTCACATTTTTTCTCATACAAAGAAGTGAAAGCAGCAAGAAAATATATGAAAAAATGTTCCACATCACTGGTCATTCGAGAGATGCAGATGAAAACAACACTAAGATTCCACCTCACCCCACAAAGAATGGCTGCTATCAAGAAATCACACAATAACAAATGTTGGCGGGGTTGTGGGGAGAAAGGAACCCTCCTCCATTGTTGGTGGGAGTGCAGACTAGTGCAACCACTATGGAAATCAATATGGAGATACCTCAAAGAGCTTGGACTGGAGGTTCCATTTGACCCAGCCATCCCTCTGTTGGGTATCTTTCCAAGAGAACTGAAAGAATCATATCACAGAGAAGTATGTGCACCCATGTTTATAGCGGCACAGTTTGTAATAGCTAAATCTTGGAAACAACCTATTTGCCCATCCGTTGGAAACTGGATAAAGAAGTTGTGGTTTTTCTATAAAATGGAATATTACTCAGCCATAAAGAGCGAGAGAATAGATTCATTCATAGGAAAATGGATACATATTGAAGATATACTCCTAAGTGAAATAAATAAGTCCCACATGTGTAAATACCGAATAGTTTCCCTGGTGTGAATATTCTGCAACAATGCATAAGATTCTAATAAGATTACTGACATTTAGAAATGGGAGGAAAGGAGCTAAAGATGTAGGGAAGGTGTGATACGTAGGGGAAGAACAAAAAGGGAAAAGAGACCACTTTTGAGATACGAAAAACATCCCTAAATGAACAAGAATAAGCATCACTTCACAGATAGCTAGAAACAGCACTCTAAAAGGCAATTTTACTCTATGTGCTGTGTGGCTCAGGGGCTGACTAGCAGTAGCTACTTGCCCTGCTATACCAGCATTTTGTCCCTGAAAAGTCTGGCTTTGGCTTCCTTCCCTCCTTTTTTTTTTTTTTTTTTTGTTCTGTTCTGTTCTGTTTTGTTTTGCTTTGCTTTGTTTCAAACAAGTGTCACACCTTCAAGAGAATGCTTCAAAAATACCAAATAATCACTTTCCCTCAGGACACCTTTCTTAGAAAAAAGTCAGACCTCTTGCTCACCTCAGAAATGATCTCCAAAATACTAATTCTTTCCTTTCTCCAAATAGCTAAATCTTTGGAATGATTTGAAATAAATGTGAAGGCTGAAATTTTTTATCAAATAGTAATTTTCTCTTTTTGATCATATCTAAATATAGGAAAAGCGAGTTTTGCCCATTTTTAGAAATTGATCACAGCATCCTCTAGGCGTTATTATTTCACTTACTCCTCTGATGTTTAGTGATAGCCTACTGTATCAAACAGGAATTTATATTTTTGTAGCAAATGAAATAAACCAAACCCAAACTGTTTTAAAAAGAGGGAATTTGCTGCCTTGCATGGAAGAAAAGACTAGAGGTGGAAACAAAAACTGGAGCATAAGAATGAGTTTTGGAGATTTTTAGATTTTAGTAAATATTTATTTCTCTAGGAAACCCATCCTTTGAAGCAGTTGTACTGTTTTATTCCATGTTGGCTTCATTCTTAGTCTCTCTCTTTTTTTTTGGTTGAGCAGCTCTAGGCCTAAATGCTTTATGCTGAAACCAGGAATAATGAGGAATTGGTAGTCCCTCAACAGGCCCGATAAAATCGTATACACATCCCCTCCACACATTTTAAAGGGAAAATGATGTGTGCCTCACCCCATCTAATTTTTCCTCTTTAAAGCAGCAATATTTAAAATATTTAAATATCTCCTCATATTTTTACAGAAGATTTCTGTGATATTTTCCAACAGGTAGAAATGCTAAGTCAAAGGCTAACTGCCTACATAATTTTATTCCATACTGTCAGTTCCTTTTATAAGATTACACTATTTTTCATTCCCTCCAGCAGTGTCTAACAGTGCTAATTCACACAGTCTCATCAAGAGAGTATTTTGTAAAATGTTGGATCATTGCCAACCAGAGAGATGAGAAATGGTATCTTAGTGCAGCTTTCATTTGCATTTTTCTAATTTTGAGTGAAGCTCAGGATCTGTTCCTATATTTATGAGCTGTTTTTCAATGGACTGGACTGTGTCTCTCAGTTTTCTATATGAGGCCTTCACAATGTGATATATGTCAGTTGTATAAACTGGTGGTCTGGTGCACACTAAGCGTAGCCCACAAACCTGCACTGAGTTCTGAGCGAAAGGTTCTGCTTCTCTCTTCTGTGCTTTTCCCTCTCAGGTTTGCACAGCCCTCTGTTTTGCTCTATCTGCTCTACCTTCTTCCCATAGAGAAGACCCTTTCTCCCTTGCAGATCAGCTGCTTTAAAATGGTCTGGAAATATTCACACTGAGCTCTTTAAGAATGCCTTCTTTGGGAGAGATGGAAACAAGTATAGCACTTTCATGTTTTAAAGTTTTATATATCCTCTATGTTATTGTTCATATATGAGGATGTACTGCACTTATAATTTAAAATAAACAAATCAGAAGGGAAAAAAATTTGACTCTCCTTTTAGAGCCTTCCTTTTTGTATGAACAGAGATAACTGATGCTTGAAAGCCAGATGCTCTCTTTCCATCTGCATTAGTCAGCTCAGGCCTCCATAACCAGGCACCAGAGCCTGGGTGGCTTCACCAACAGGCTTTTTCCTCACAACTCCAAGAAAGAGGCCAAAAGTTTAAGACCAAGGTCGTCTTCCTTGATGTTAGTCTCTGACAAGGCCTCTCTTCCTGGCCTATAGATGGTTAATGATCTCTCTCTCTCTCTCTCTCTTATCCTGATATTGCCTTTCTTTCTTTCTTTCTTTCTTTCTTTCTTTCTTTCTTTCTTTCTTTCTTTCTTTCTTTCTTTCTGTCTTTCTTTCTTTCTTTCTTTCGCGCAGATGTACACACATTCACACAAGAGAGAGAGCTTTGCATACTGCTTGCTGTCTCTCCCTATTTTTATAAGTACCCTAAGTACCTTAATCCTACGGAGCTAGGACCCCACCCTCATTTTAATTTTATCTTAATTACCTCTTACAAGGTCCTGTCTTTAGATATAGTCTCATTAAGAGTCAGGGCTTCAAGATTTGTATCTTGGAAGGGTAGAATTCAGTATGTAACACCAACTAGCATCCACTCATCCACCCATTTAGGTATTCATCCATTCTTCCAGTTATTTTCTTTTGTTTTAATCATTCTTGTTCTATGCATAAAACTGACCTCTTGATTCTTTACTTACCTATTTTGTCTTCTGTCATAGATAATATATACCCTCAGCACTTCCAATCCAATGCTTATTACATGTTCTGTATTATTTGCTAGAAAATGCTTCAGCTGCTATTCTCTGGACATGTTGACTGTGTAAATATCACATGTATTTCTCTCTCTCTCTCTCTCTCTCTCTCGCGGGTGCACTATTGGGGATTCAACTTGAGTCTTTGTGCTTGTGAGGCAGGTGGCCGCACCACTGAGCTAAATCCCCAGCCCTATATTTCTCTTATTTTATCCTGAAGATACAAAAAGAGGAAGGTTGTTTTAACTTTCCTGGTATCTCACAGATACACAGAATTTTTCATGACACAAATAAACAATGCAAAGACACTTAAAAAAGATATTTTAATGTGGAAAATGATATTAAGTATGAATATAAAAATTTTAAGAATGTGTAAATACTTGATTTTCTTTAGTAGTTCCCTATCAGTAACCTTAGAAGTTTAGTTTTGAGAAATTTACTAACTGTATTATCATATTACAGTTTATAAAATAATCAGTTTTACTGCTTTCATCAAGGTGTTTATATTCTGATAGCAAAATATAGAGGCAGTTGAAGTATTTATAGCTTATGAGCAATTGCAATTTCCTTAAATTTATTGAAGTGTTTTCCTGGGCTTTTAAGGTTGGCTTTGGATGTGAATGATCTACACAGCAGACTGTGTATAACAGTATTTTGTTGTCTGATGAAATAGAAGGCAGTGAGAAGTTGTTCTCTGACTCACCCTAGTTCATCAGGAGCTGGAAGGGCAGTGGTAACTCATCAATCTGATGCTGTCATTTGTAGCCCCTACATATGAAACATCGAGCCTACAATAAGCAAGACTTCCAATCAAATCTCTACCGGGAGAACTATCTGTGAAAGGAAACAAGAGTGTAAAAAATGGGGTAAGATTCTTGGGGGTAGCTCTCAATTTCTCCACTGGTAGGAGGAGAAGACACAGATGATGCCAGGTATTTTAAAGTGTGGATATGTGTTCTGGAGATGCGACACATTTGTGATATTTTATCTCTGTAGAATTAATGTTCTAGACACAAGCGACCTTGATGTTTTCCAAAGTTCCCTGAGCCCTAATGCAGACTTTATTATGGAAGCAGTCTATGTCTACAGAGGAGACATCTTCTCACCTCTGATAAGGGTATGTCTGCATGTTTTTCTGTCAGAGGATGGCCCTAATGAAATGAAAGTAGCATGGTAACAAACATTCAAAGGCTCACGCACCATATCTATTATTGTCAGCTATGGACCCTTAGGCAAACTAATTAATCTTTCTAAAGTACCAACGATGGAAGCTTCTATTTTATGTAATATCTGATGGATTAAATTTAGTTACTTATCCAAGGAGCATAGTACCATGTCTTGCTAGTCAATGAAGTTGCTTTCATCTTTATGGTATTGATTATTTATACTATCTATGTAATTTTTCTTCCTCCAGCACTCAATGGGATACTTTTCATGTGTAACCAGTAGTTTTCCTCATGTATATTTCCAAGGCTTCAAATACCTACAAATTTATTTGCATGACACCGTTGCTATTATCTAACATATTTTACTGAATATCTTCCTTTAATTTTTTTTTCTGAATCTTTCTCATGCATTTTGGTAGCCTTGCCCTTATGTCATATGCCTTGTGACCCTTAGAAACTGGCAACTGTTAACTAATTAGATATAAGAGCAACATTTTTATCATTTGTGAGCTGCGTGAACTTTAATTTGACTTCTTCCAAATCTACTTACCTATTTTGCGAGAATCCGAAGCTGAGATCCTATCATTTTAGACCTGCATTATCACAATAATCTTTTTGACTGACAGGCTTCAGTCAACCTGTCTTAAGCCTATTTTTCCTGTAATCCAAGTTAATAAATCTTTGCATCCATGCACCCAAGTGCCCAAGAAGGTGATTAAGCACTGCACAGGTTATACTTGTTCAACACCTGTTCCCACATTGATTCTGTTTCTGCTTGGCTATCAACTTTTGGCCTAACAACTTGACATTTGTAACTAATCTTTCATTTCCCCATTCTCCGTTTTGCCTTGAGGAACCTGGCTTGAATGTGACTCACCAGTTCTTTCTAAGAAATTTAGCTTCTTCCTGCATCTGCAAATGAAGCGAGATAAAGTTGAAGTTTGAATACCGGCTCTTCCAGGCTCGCGACACAAACTTCATTAGATGATGTGATCTCTCCCAGGCAAATGTAAAGTTTAATTTTGTGTACTTGGCTAGGACACGGTACCAAGATACTTACTCAAGCACTATTATAGATGTTTCTGTGAAGGTCATTTTTGATCTGATTAAGAATTAAATTGGAAGACTTCCCTCCAAATGTGGGTAAGACCAGTCCAATCAGCTGAAGGCCTTAGGAGAAAAGACAGATCTCCCTAAAGAAGAGGAATTTCAGCCAGCACACTGCCTTCAAGCTGGAATTGAAACTTTTCCATGCATCTCTATTCTGCCAGCCTATGCTGTGAAGTTAGGACTTGCCAGCCAAATTCACAATCACTTGAGCCAATTTCTTAAATCTTAATCTCTCTTTTGCTCACCGTCTTCCTCCTCACATGAATATATATATATATATATATATATGTTATATTTCTTATATATATCTTATAAATCATATATATTATGGATTCCATTTCTTTATAGAATTCTAATTAACATAAGACAGTTTTTTCTTTAGTTAAAATAAGAAAATATTTTTGTTTGGTTTTTGGTGATGATTAAAGAGCCTACTTTAATACTTGACACATAAAAAAGTATCCAACCCCAATTATTCTTGTAATTACTATTTACCAATTTTTTCATAACCTGGCATATTTGATCATGCTTATTCCTTCATTATTATTCCTTCCTACTATTCTTTAGTCACTGCATCTAGCAAATTTCTCTAAAATTTAATCTAAATCCAATTTTTCCTCTTAAGCATGCCTACATGCTTTTTAGGCGTAGTTATGAAGATCCAAGGTAATACTGAGCTATAATTTATCTATTTAAATATAGTCTTCAAGAGAGGCTTCCAGTGCTGCAAAGCCTTTAAATTTAGGGGTTTTTGGTCTCAAATCCTGATAATATTTGATATATAAACAAATCAATGAATGAATGTCATGATACATCTTTACTTCTTACATTACAATGGGCAGTTTTGTTAAATCCATGTCTCTGTATTGCAGGCAGGCAGATTTTTAAAAATTATCATATGTTTATCAATTTTCTGTTATGGGCAAAGATTTATTTATTTCAGTTTTGGTTCTAAGAAAGCTTGTGCAAATAAGTGAGGGTAAACTTCATTCAGAAGTTATGAAAAAGTGACATCCAAATCTGGAAGGAAAGTGATTCTTTCTAGTTGGTTGAGTTAGGGACAAACTCTCAAAGAAAGTAACATATACTTACTTGGACCAATGTAACTGCAGATGGAGACATACTGTGGGCAAGGCACAGAGGGCAGCCCATACAGAGTATTTTTAGAGAATGTTAAATAGTTAGTATTGACTAAAGCTTATAGGAAGTGGCTGGAGGCAGCAGGAGATAATGTGGGAAAGGGAAGGATTACACCAGAGGACAAGCTAAAGGAAGCAGTGAAATCCCATGGAATGTGTTTTAGCACATTGCGTAGGTGAAGGCTAAGTAAATGTCATTAATTATTAGATAATAAATGCTCTTTATTTAAGAGGAACCAAGGTCAGAGTAAAGGAATTATAAATTGAATAAGAATGGCAGTCGTTGGGTTAAGAGAAGAGACTAAATGAACTGGGTGTAAAAGAGGCAGAGAAAGAAAATTTAACCCAAGATTCCTAAACCTCCTTTTTGTTCCCACGAGTAGTCCTTAGCACATAGAGCACGTACCATGAGAAAACACTGCAGGAAGAACTTTACATGGGTCAACTCATTTTTCAGGAATACACTTTTTCGTGTCTCCTTTATTGTTGAAGAATTTGAGACAATAGAGAAGTAGTCCAATCAATATCTCCCAGCCAGTGAATGGCAGGGCTTCTTCCTGGGCGCCACCCTGCATACTATCACTGAGGGGACAGGGGATGGATGGCCAGGACACTCCTCTTTAAATATTGCTGCTTTAAAGAGGGAAAATTAGGTGGGGTGAGGCATGCATCATTTTCCCTTCCTTTTCTTGTACCTCTTTGTTGAAAACAATATATTTTTCTCCACTAAACAGCACACTTCAGAAGTATCTGACAAGCTACTGAAATAAGTTAAACTCTGTATAAGCAATGGCTCCACCAAGGGGCAAGTGCCCTTCTGCAATTCTTCACAAGCCTCCAGCAAGCCATCCTGAACTGATAGATGACTCCGTAATGATGTGAAGGAGCCCAGCTGCTCCTTCTACACGAGTCTTCTTTGGAATACAGAAGAGAGCTCAATATGCTTTTCCAGCTGATCAGCTGCCGTCTAGCTCATTATACAGCATCTGACACCAGAGTTTACGTATCATGAAATGAAAGAATATTCATCTTTATGATTAGCGACAAAAAATCTTTTCTTCCTTTTTTCTTTGGTATTAAGATGCGGGCATGTCTACTGCTGTTAGGCATCTCAGATTGAGATTACATCAGCTCTCATAGGCTTGTCCTGCCCCAAAGGATATCAAATGCAGAATCTGATCAACTTGGGATAAAGAATAGGCAGTTTTCCAATAAACATAATACTTACTTTTTATCTTCTTAAGGAAACCTTGTTATCTCCCATTATTCGCACTTAAATGATTATTTTTTAAATTTATTCATTCTTACCGATAGGAGCAAGTCAGAATATTGCAGTGATAACATTCTGCGCTGCAGCTCTCCTCTCTTCATTCATCTGTGGCCCATGCATTTCTTTGGGGCCTAATCCAGGCTACTTACTGCACTGTCACAGGATTGTGAAAATTACAGGACATATACACGTTCACACGGGGGCCTTTCCCAGAGGGAGTTTAAAACCACTGGATAAAAATGTCATCTACATGGCATAGAAACAAAGAAAACCAAAGTAGAGTTTCCTAAGAAAAACGGTATCATTTTAGGAGGCAGATAAAAATGAGAGGGAAGTAAAGTTAAGTCCCCTGATGAGCTAGGCATCTAGCCAGGTGAGGGACGTAGCATTCCATGGGAAGGTCTTAAACCCTTCTTTGAGCACTTGAGGGATATGTATGGCCATGCTTATAAAGACTTCATTTCCTTCCATCTCTTCCAGCATTGTCTTCATTTCTGACTACCTTTCTATCACAGCCCAATAAATTGTGACAAGTGCATTCTGCTGAATAAGGACAAAGCTTAAATTAGATGCAAATTTCATAATGCTTCCTTTCCACTTACTTAAATCTGCCATTTATATGAAATTATCATTCTCCTCTCTGACCTGTCCTTTGCCTCTCAAACTTGCCCCAATCTGGCTTCCAATAATAGGGAGATTGGGCTTTTGCTAAATCTAAATCCATACTTAGCTGTTTGTCCACTCAGTAACTTAAAAACCAAATGTCTGGGATCATAATTCTTGAGGGAACAGCTCTCCATAAGAATGTGTAGCAGAGTCTGGGTGATAATGTAATCATAAACTGTGGGATTAAGTGAAAGTGCTTAAAGGTAAACTTGCTGGCTGCATTCCCATTTCCATGAAAGATGATCATTTTGCAAATTCTCCGGTATAGTAATCTGATGCCTTTGGCAGAAAACCGCACTGGTGTATTATTATTACTAACAAGCTTGTTTAGCACGTAGAAAAGCCTAATCAGGACATTTAGGTAATATATGCATCTCCATTGATTTTTGTGTTTTTCTTAAACACTTATTTCAGATGAGATCTGTCCTGTTGGTTCAGCACAGAGAACAGAAGCTGAGCTATGCATTCTTTGTAGCAGCTCAGGGTGAAATAAATGCTTGTCTAATGCTATATGG